GGGGGGGGGGGGACATCTTTCGTTACGTAAACCGACATCATGGCCATGCCTTTTGGCTATATATGAATTATTTGGCTATATGTGACTATATGTGAATGATAGGTAGGGTAACCCATTCACTTGAGGAGCCTTTTATCCATTCAAATACTAGGCTTTTATCTATTCAACTAGGTGGTTTTATCCATTGAACGAGGCTTTATCCACTGGAGCCATAGGTARGGTCTTATAGCTTCAGAGTTCTATCAAAGTTAAAACAATATGCAAATATTTTATAGCAAAGGCAGCTCCATCTTTAGGGATATCTGAGACCTCGAGTGTTGAACCAACCGATGTCCAACACATTGAACTAACTAGATTTTGGCAAAAATACATGTTGATTGTAAATATACTGCTATATTCAGGGCCATAGCCACAAATTTCTGATCGGTCCGGTTTTCGAGGGTTTTCGGTTTTTCTTACATTTTCAAAATATTTTTCTTATATTTTTTTCCCGAAAGTTGGTCCGGTTGAAAGCGGACCAACCGTACCGGTTGCTACGGCCCTGATATTTTGATATATATCTTTGTGCAGAGAGTGTGTCAACGCTCACTTGTTCGTTCGATAATGGGCTATGTGGATGGACGCAAGACCTAAATGTGACAAAAAGATGGCTYCTTCACAAAGGAACAAGTAAGAAAATGCGTATTCAAAATAATACAATCTGATATACATAAGAATAATGACTGAAAGTTTTATACAAGTCCAGAAAAGCACAACGAACTAACGAGCAAAAACAACAAACAYTCAAACAAGAGTAAGATCAAAATGTGAGTCCCTTAGGGGTGGGCCCTAGGGGCCGCAACTCCTTCTTTATTTTTGTTAACTATTATTAGAGTCGAAAAAAGGTTCCTCATAATGTATGGCAGAGGGGGGGAGGGCAGGTGAGATTTAGGGGGGATCGGAAAAACTATTAGAGTCGAAAAGAGGTTCCTCTCACGCCTCTAAGGCTGCGTTCATGATGTATGGCAGGGGGGGAGGGCAGGTGAGATTTAGGGGGGATCGGAAAATTTTTTACCAGTAAAATGGTGGGGGGTTTGAAAATATTTTTCAGAGAATTGGGGGATGCAATTTTTTAGAAGAAGCTACGAGAGATTGCCCGGGGGGATAGTTATTATTTGGGGGACTTCAAGGGGGGATCTTAAGAATTTTTTTGTCATTTAAAGATTTCACCTGCCCACAACCCCCCTCCCCTCTGCCATACATTATGAACACAGCCTAACTTGTCAAGCGTTTCAGCAAATAATCGTGGACTCAAAAGAACTACATTACATTTTTTTGTATTGTGATTTCAGGCCCTTATCTTATTTTTACCAATGATGCTGGACAAAACCAGGCAACGTTGGAATATCATCATTTTACTGGAATGGGTTACCTATGGTTTTCCTGTGTTYCATTTGGTTCAGTGAAACTCGAGGTGTTGGTCGGGAAAAAGTCGGTTTTTAGCGTTCAAAATAAACGAAAACCCAAAACCATGGTTTGGAGTAGTGTTGGTGTGAATATCAATTCAACAAACGAAACAGTAAGTTTTTAAACGAAACGCTTTCTCAAAAACAGCGCCGCCAAGTTGGCACTATGCGCCATGTGTCGTTTTTCTTTTTGTCTCGAAACCTATATTTATTTTACTTCATATTCTCTTGTTTTTCATGTATTTAATGGTGAAAAACAAAAACCAAACGAAACAGACCGAACAACGCAGGAGCGAGCGACACAAAACCAAATAATAATAATAAAACCAAATAATAACTAAACGAACGATACGCGACCGAACGAGACAAGAACGAACATAACAAACGCAAAAAAGAAAAAGCGAACAAAACAAACAAAAACAAAACAAAAAAGAAAGAGACAAAAAACAAAAAACGAAAAAAGCCAAAAAACAAACAAAACAAGAAAACAAACAAACAGTAGACTGTGTGAGAGAGAAAAGAGTTTACATTCATAACAAAAAGACAAGAAAAATATTTATTATATAATTACCAATGAAATATCTATTTTTCTCTATTTCGAAAAATTGATATCTTCACACGTGAAAATAACATGTTATTTTCACGTGTGAAAATAACACCATTGCGATGGCTATTCAAAAATACACGGAAAAAATTGCCTGAAAAAGCCAAAACATACTTCATTGATAATCATATAATAAACAGAATATTACATGGCCGCTGCGCTCACTTGTGAGAGATCTTTTCAACACTCGAAGATAAATTTCGTATCTCCGCGCGCCCATGTAATATCCTCTATATATTACTCACTCTGTAAGAAAAAAGAGTACACAAACGAAACATTAATATTTTGCAGGTTTCTATCCAAGGGTCAGTAAGATATGGCGGTATATTAGGACTAGATGACTTGGTCTTCAAGGAAAAGAATGGCAAGTATATGTATACTAATGATGATATAGAACTTAGATTTTGCTCGTGTTGATTGAAACAGGCATTTACAGAACCTTATTTATGACGCTTCGATTGATCCTTTTCCAAAATGGCGGCCGCAAATTTAAAAAGTTAAAATTACATTAAGTGAAAAATCTTTATCAAAATCATATWAAAAAGTGCCTTTACATTAATAACCCTTCAAAGATTTATTATATAGGGTTTTTTTCATTGCTGGTATGGGTTTTGCACTCCGTTTAATTTYAACTCATTTGAATTTGCAGCCGCCATTTTGAAAAAAAAAGGGGGTCTATTAAATCAAAGAACGGAATGGAAAATAATCCTCTGACACTAGGAGCCGAATTTCCATAAACAACAACATTTCCTAATATGAATGAGAATTGCAAGGAAAATCTTTACAGCGTCGCTTTTCATCTTGATGATGTGTTTTTCCTCCGTACGAATGACATYACATAGTTTTATACGATGTTTACAAATGATAAGGTAAATCTACTAAAATTAGCAGACAATATTCTACGCGAATTTTCTCTCGTATTTCAATTTTTATTTCCTTAAGAGAATAGTATGACAATTGCTGCTAATTAATGACAAAGGAAGGTGTGCAAGGGATTCTGGTAGTGGCAGTATATGACGCTTTTAAGCAACTCTGCCATCTKTTATAGGAAATATTTAACTAGATACGCTTTCATTCGGCTTACTTGAAGTCTCAAATGTAATTCCTGTCAATTTGAATTTGAGGCCTTTTTTATAGCTTTCCTTTTGTATTGGCGAGATGTGTCATGTAACATTCCGGTCCCCTTTTAAAAATTCTGGATTTCCCATGATAAAATATGATACATTTATTGTCAAACTAGAAACCATGTGCGACAAACTAGCACCAGCCAACGGGACACTAAATTGCACATTGAACAATACCGTGCACAGCGTCTGTTCCTTTCGATGTCCTGGAGGAGTGCATGTAGTTGGTTCACCGGAGAGAGAATGTCTTCCATCGGGGATGTGGTCGGGATACAACGCCTCATGTCAGCGTAAGTAAATATACCTTTTATCAAAAAAAATGTTTATTTATTTATTTTGGTTTTAAAGATCGGTCATTATTTATGGCCTTGGGAGAATTTACGGGAAGGGGGTCATAAGCTTTTAGATAATTGGAGGGGGAGGGAGGGGGTGTGGGTGTGGGTGTGGGTGTGGGTGTGGGTGTGGGTGTCTGAATTTTATCATCTTCCATAATAGTTTTCCCTTGATCTTAATTCCCTCTCTAATTAACCCTAACTAAATCAAACTGGTTAAAGCTGTGCTACGGGGTCATATATAAACTGTACAGTATAGAGGCACCAAGTGGCGCCTTAACATGTTTCCAGTTGGACCCCGTTGAGCTGTGTTACTACTGTTCTTGCGGTGGTGACAAGCGATAACACGTTTTTTTATATTTCCCCTCCCAACAACCGTACCGCTGAGCATTAATGGGTACAGTTATGGCTTTCCTATTTACAAACTTAAGTGTCCTTGCGACTGACGAATGGCAAAGAAAAMTATGGAAAAGTAGAAGCTTTAATAGATGGAAAATGGGGTGCTCTTTGTCGAAACAAAGACATTAACTCCGACGCAATGGCTCGTGTAGTGTGCCGGACGCTGGGATACAGTGCAGAAGCATTCGAGCTACCGTCATATGAAGTAGAGCCCGAGCTGGAAGACGCATGGATTGAAATCCAGCAGTGTAGTGGAAGCGAAAAAACGATATTGGATTGCAAGAGAACAGCTGTTGARAGACGTGCTTGCAATTTGGATTCTGGTATTTACGTTTTATGTGGAAACTTTTCATGTAAGTAAAAGCAAAAAAAAGAAGAAAAAAAAGGTATTGTAAATTACGCCATTAGATCAACACGTCTTACAAATAAGGGCCCCTTAACACTAAAATTAGCACAAATTTATACACGCTAAAGCACATATATGGTAATCAGGTGTGGTGTAGTATTAGATACATCAATGTTGCTGAGTTTCAATTAGCTGATAATTAGTCTTTGAACCTTGTTACCTCCTTCAAATGGTAGTGGTCAAACACTGACCACCATGTGCTGTCAGCCAGAAAGAATTCTATTGAAAACTGCTGACGAACATTCCGCAAGGGACAGGAAATGCATCAAATGAACCCAGCAATTGCACTATCCTCTCAGCTTTGGCGTCTTGATCCAAATCGCTGGACTAGATCACATGTTTCTCCTCGAGGGTTAAATTGCCCTGCTCAAAAACAAAACATAAATAAATAAATTAAGCTGTAAGTTCCAATTCAAACTGTGAGTTAGCCAACGTGCCCTGACTTAATTAGGTCAGCCTATAAGTTGTAAAGGGTATGATCTGCGAGTTAGTCATATATATGACTTGACTAGATGAATATCACTGAGGTCAAACGTTGCTTCATGATATAAAATTTAAACATTGTTTGAAGTTTTTCTTTAAATTCAAGGTCCACCAGGTTGTAGTTGCGAGTCGTCAAGTCCTTTGAGGTACACCATTATATGCACCTCGACAGCAAGTAGAAATACACCTTTGATGGCTCCTCCCTACACCACGAAAATGTAAGTGGAATATGTCAATGAAACACTATTCTATAAGTGCCAAAAATAGCAAACGGATAATTAACATAAAATGACATCCCATGATGCAGCGCGTTGCATATTTTAACCAGCCATCGGACCTTTTTGACGGTTTCTCTTGACGTCCCGAGGAGCAAGTGCACATAGTGACGTTCCCCCCTCATCACACCCACTCCCACCAGCGTGGCGCGACCATTGACACACTAGCACATTAACCATTTTCCATACATCGGTTCATCACTGGTCAAACACAAAGCACTCAGTCGAGGTTTCAAGGCTCAAACTTGAAATAATCCTTTGGAAGTACCTTGGCGCCTCGCTTGAGCGCTTTGTGTTTGACCAGTGAACCAATGTATGTAAGATGGTGAATTAGTCACTCCCCTCTCTCCCCTCTTTCCGCGGCTGTGGACGCAAAACTCCCACCATATCTCATTAGTTATTCGTGTGTATTGTCGGCACTTAGAATATATTATTACGAGAATTATTCGTATCTACAAAAAACCGTGTGGGACATTATGCTTTTAGACACAATTAATTAATCAGCTTGTGTGTCAAAGACAAAGGCTTACTTAATTGGGTCGTTTATGCAGAACTTAAGAAAGGTTTTGATACTATTCATCATAGGATCCTCATTCAAAACCTGCCGTCTTAGTATGGGGTCGATACAAAACGTGTGTCACGTGAATGCTCATTTATCGAGTGCACGACGAGGTACTTACGGGGTGAAACAGAGGTCAATACTTGGACTTTTGGTCTTTTTGATCTTTATGAATGATATTTCAAACTCTATTAATGAAGTAAAACCAAGAATGTATAATGCTAATGACACCAGTATGAGCTTTGCTGACTCAAAACAGAACGATACTTAAACGAAAATAAACCTAGACTTAGATTTTGAGACCTTCCAATCTGGCTTAGAGCCAGCAAACTATAATAAGCCTGCATGTCGTGGATCTTCATTGCTTAGCAAAACTACACACACAAAAAGATTGCTTCTGTGCCCTCGCAATTCAGACGTAATATAAGCTTCCTTTTGATTGATTCATTTAATTCTTTCTTTCTTCCTTTCTTTCTTTCCAGCTCGATGGAAGGTGTAGACATGAGTCATTTAACCAAAAAAGTGTTAAAGAATATACCAATTATACATGACATGTAAGTAACAATTATCAGCGCCTTTGATAACATTTCAATAGTATGTTTAAACATGTGGGCATACCCTTAGTTGTGCGGACAATGGCTGTAGTGAGTTTCACTTGACATATGACTTTTTCCGATACCAGAATTTTTATGAAGGCAACCATTGAAATAGTGAAAAATGGAACATTTGCCAGTCGGTTACCGAATTTAAGACTTATGTAAGTAAGAAAGATATATATATATATATATATAATTGATATGCTTTTTTCATTCCAATTTTTGTCGTTACCCAAAGTCAAGGGACAGCTACATTCAGTGATTGAATTGGAATTTAGCGTGTTAGGTTTTGTGAAGGGAGGAGAACCCGGAGAAGCTAGAGAAAAACCCCCAAATCAAGGGAGAGACCTAAAAAATTCTACTCAAACGGATACCAAATTTGAGAATGAGGCCCGAGGGTGGCAGACCCCAGGGGTGAGAGGCGAGTACACTATCGCTACGCCCTTGATTCCATTTTTGCTTTAATATTGTAATAACTAGCCTTCAGTGAAATGGAAACTCTGCCCTCCTTGCAAGTTAATACATGTAATTTGCTATTGAAAACTTGCCATCAACCACGTCGTAAAATATCACACCAAACAAAGAGGACCCAGAACGAAAAACACATGCATGTAAATTATGTTTCTTCAATCATTTAGCTCTCATATACCTACTCATGATCAACATTCGCTATTTCCTATTTAGAGATCTAAGTGGAAATTGCCTTTCGAGTCTCGCAAGCATCGAATCTGGTTGGTATGGCAACAAGGCAGTATCTCATACTTTGTRAGTAAGAACGTGACGCGAATGAAGCAGGCCACGTGATCGCTTTCTACTATCTCGGATGGAAAAAAGATGTAGTAAAATGAATTATCGTTCTTACTTATAACTAGGGTAATACTTGATAGCATTGTCAGTACCATGGCTAACTAACAATTTGTCACCCTTTTTCCTCGGTCGAGAATAGACTTCATTTGTTCATTTCTGTGGAGGGGAAAAACTCGGAGAACCTGACCGGAGAAGAACCCTCGTGGCACAGGGGAGAACCATAGCAAAGAACGAACTCATGATATATTCTCGTAATTAATTCAACAGAATTCTCATTCTTAACGACAACAAAATTCGAAACATCACAAAGTACTCGACAAAGGGGAAAGGAATGTTGAATAGTTTGTACGTAACTCTTATTTTGTTTTATATATAGAGGGCTAGTAAAACTGATAAATATCCATGTTACTTTGATAGGCGTTTGATACGGTTGATCATTCGATCTTGTTAAGCAAGCTTGGTTCTTATGGATTAAGTGGGAATGCACTCAATTGGTTTCGATCATAATCAAGTAATCGTTCACAGAAATGTTTTGTGAATAGCGCTTTGTCTGAATCTATGGGAATATCTTGCGGAGTTCCCCAGGGATCAACTTTAGGTCCCTTATTGTTTATTGTGTATATTAATGATCTGCCGCATTCCCTTGAAATTGCTAAGCCCAGAACGTACGCTGATGACACCTCAATAACAGTAGTTGCTAATAACGTAAAAGATATTGAGTCAAGCATTAACGCTGAACTTGTGGGTGTTGGAAATGGCTAATTGCTAAGAAACTCAGTTTGAACGTTGCGAAAGCTGAGTTTATTCTCCTCTGTTCAAACCCAAAATTGGCTTCTCTTCCAACATTTCCTGTTATCAAAATAGGGAATACTCCTGTAAAGAGAGTAAAAGTATCTAATTGCTGGGCGTTTTCATTGATCAAACGCTGTCATGGTCTGACCAAGTTGATCATATTGCTAAAAAGGTGTCAATGGGCATTAGTGCTTTAAAGCAAGTCCGTTCATTTGTTACATTTGATACCTTGATTATCATTTATAATGCCCTTATTTTACCATATTTCGACTACTGTGACTAGTGTGGGGTAATTTTAATAAGGAYTCAGCTGAAAGATCAGCTGGGATCCCAGGGTTCCAGGGAGAACCTATATATAGATTCAGCTGATTTAATGTATTCAGGATAACTATTGTATTCTCTATTGTCGCTCTATCTATAGTGTATTAGATGTGAATCATTGCATTTTTTATGAATACATTACATCAACTGCTTGCTACGTACTCTCTCCCATCCCAATATTAATACAACACAGAGGTCTAAAACTTCAGTAATTGAGTCTGTTTTTGCGAGTCAGAGGATTAAAAAGAAACCTGATCAGTTTTATCGAAGAAGGAGCATTCGAAGAGTTACATTGGTTAGAACATGTGTGAGTAGCGTAATTTATTTTGGCAGTAATTTAAAAAATTTAATCGCTCGTAAATAACTATCTCTGTTCTTTAAAATCGTACGTCTTACACAAGTTGCATATGTGACATCCTTAAAGAAACTTATCTTAAATAACTCTTGTTTCAGAGACCTCTCGAACAACTTGATCGCTAATTTGGAACCAAACACATTTGTTGGAATTGGAAAAGAAATATTCAATATTATGATGTAAGTGTTAAAATACTCTTTCCTGATAAACAGCATCAGAAACCAAATACACCTATTCGAAATATGGCGACCAATTTGAATAACTATTGTTCTGGACTATATGACTTGCCTCTCATACACGCGAAAACTTTTTTWWTTTTTGTACCGGTTTCCACGTGAACCATTTAAACCATTTACTTTTAGTAGTTATTCAATTGGTCGCCGCCCTATTTCTATTCGGCAAATTAATAAATAATAAAATGAGGTATATAAAAAAGGAATACCATACATGAGCGTACATTCCAAATACCAAAATGAGAAACATAGGAACATAGGTACCCTTGCAAGTTGYAAATTTTGCATTCTTATTGGTTAGGAGCGCGTGCATTATGATAGCACATAGCACGCCAGCGCACTTTCTATTTCGTCATTTGTGTCCAAAATACACTAATATATATTTGATTAAACTCATCGTTAATGATGAGCTTGGCGTTAGGTGCATATTCGGTGGGATGGGCGGAGCCAGGCACAAATTAGCGGTAACCATGGTCACCCTGTCACCACCCACCGAACACCTGTCACATTGACCGCGACCAGTCAATGGAATACTTACCTCTACTTACCTGTACCAGTGGTAGGGATGGCGGGCGGGAAATTAAACTCGTGTTGTAGCGTAATAGCGT